TGTGAGTTAGTTTTATTTGTAGTAGACAAATGTGGCTACGATATATCAAAGTTTTAGAGATAGAGTTACTGATGCTCAAATAAAAAGTGTTACTTTCATCCCCGGTCTCCCCTAACACTGCCGATTTTTAAGACCCTATCAACTCAATTCATTGCCTTAGCGTAATGAAGAGAGACTGATATAAGTGGTTCTCAAACTTTCTAACTTCAAGGCTTCTCATTGTCAAAGTCAATATTAGAGGCTACCCTGCAAAGGCATTTTTTTTCTTCTGGTGAAATTACAAAATATGAGCTTGTATTTTGTTTTTTTATGAACAGAAACTAGATAAAAAAATAATTGTGTAGAATCATTAACTTTTTTAAAGTGAAGAAACCTAAATAAGTGCTGTTGTCTTGCTGCAAAAGAACTTCTCTGCATGCAGGATTATTAGCCTATTTTTTTAACAACTCTGCTATTATTTTAAAGGTAACTCAAACAGATGTTTACGATGAATTTCCCAATATGAACACTGCAGATCATTTTAGACCTGTCTGCTTATTATCCATAGTAGAAAATCCAATGCATGTCACTTACACATTTTATCAGATTTTGCTGATAAAAAATAAATATAAGGTCAATTTAAATCATTTTAAAGCAAAAAACGAGGTCACCTAGTAAAACTGCTCCTGTGTGAGAACCAATCTAAATGAGTTATATTCACTGTAGATCGTTACCGCCTCCTAGTGGACATTTGACAATTCTGCCATATCTGGCATTAAAAATACCAAGTCATGATTAGGATGTTAAAAACAAACAAATGGACAAGTAAGCAAATAAAAAAAAATACATCAGCATAAAACACTTAACAAACATTGTTAACATACGTAGCAAAACATCTGCATAGTATACAAAATAATCAACATTAAAAAAGTTGTTTTACATCAATTCAAATATTTTTATATTCATTTTAAACAAATTTCCTTTCTGACTAAAAGTCTAATAGATTTTTTTTCATATGCTCCACAAGTAAGAATTCATAAAATTAATATTATAATTCATTTTAATATTATTTACAGAACATTTATCTCATAGACAATAAGTGTTACACGGGTCACCGGATGTGAAAAAGTCATATATATTGACCAAAGGAAACATAGTCACTGCCCCCAACATTGAGCCCAACTGCACTACAGCTCCACACCACACAAGAGCGCCGTGGCCCTCATCTCGCAAGATGACAGCAACAATCACTTTTACATAAGATAGGATGAAGATGAAAAAGAACCAAGCCAACACCTGAAAACACAGGATTACTCCGTGTGAATATACAAAAAGAAACAATAACACAGATCAAGCAAAAAAAACAGAATGCTTCTTATATTGGAAATAAACACAAACTGGTCCCAAGTACTCACAATAATGACGGCTCCAGAGGTGTCATTAACTAGCAGTGGACATGGACTCAAAACAGCCATGCCCATAATGTAAAATCCAATAAGAGAGCCAATAGAAGTGAGAACTCCCATCAACAACAAGGACCTGTTTAGAATGCAACAAAGTGTTGAGAAGTAGTAAGTATGTTTATAGCCATTCTATCTATCTATCCATCTATCTATCCATCTATCTATCTATCTATCCATCTATCCATCTATCTATCTATCCATCCATCCATCCATCCATCCATCCATCTATCCATCTATCTATCTATCGTTTTTTAAACTCACGTCAGTATTTCATGTCCACATACTTATTTGTTTGGTAAGAAGCTGTGTAAAAAGTAGTTATTGTTCATTTAATTCACTATAAAATCAGTTAGTGCATTAAATTGCTATTGTTCATGATGTAGCTCACCTTTGAGTGTAAAACATGCTGATGAAACAAGCTATAGGATTGGCAATATTCGCCATAGTTGCTGACCAGTGATAGGCCTGGTCTCCATATGGTAAACATGAGTACGACTGCACTGACGGCAAACCGGTATTAGTCAGAGCGGTCACCCATGCTAGCATAATGTAGATGTATATGACTTGTATCCATGTGTGCGTCCCCGTCCCAAACGTGCTCTTGGGTTTCTGACTAGCCTTTTTAGAACGCATCATTGGTTTCTGTTCAGATTTCTTGTTTTTCCAGCGGGATATGGGATCTTCATTTCCATTTATGTTATTGGGACGCTCTCGGGCCACAGCTGGATGGTAGTTCAAAAGTAAGAACGCCACCAAACAAACCACCATCATAGCCGCCAAGATGAAAAAATAGGCTTCAACTGAAAAGTTAGCTGGTTGGTAGTGAGGCACAAGGTAGGTAGTGTCTCTTTCAGACCCGTTAAGATGTGTTTCATTGGATCTGAGGATTTGAGATGCATTGACACATTCCATCACACCTACACCTTGAACCAACGCCACTAAAGCTGGGACAAAACCGCTCAGGCCTTCTCCTACATAATAAGTCATGAGATACTCTGCCTTGAGCTGTGTCATGAAGGGAAGGAACGTCACCGAAGAGGTGCAGTCCACTAATGAGATGAAGAAGATGAGGAGCAGCAGAGGAACGCTGCGCTCTACGCCTTGCACCACTACCGTCTCACTCCAGAAGAAAGCCAGTAAAAGGCTTGCCAGTATCCCGAAACCAACAATAAAATAGATAACTGCAGTCTCGTTGAGCGTTCCTGGGCGGAAGCGGTGCATTAACGTGACAAACAGAGGTCCGATGTTGGCCAGTTGGACAATAACGGAGATGTAGGAGGGAAGATACCAACCCTCAGGTACCTGTGGAACGATGAGAGGCAGCTCCACCCACAGACCACAGATGGTGACCCAGGAGCCCATGCCAAACAGGCCAGCCAAAACATGGGTGAGGATAGACGTGGCCATGCTGATTTAAATCAGACTTCGTAACCTTAATGTCTTCAGAAAAGAAAAATGATGTGTACAGTTAGTACCCAAGAGAATTTCATTCAATGACAGACATTATTTTTGCAGTTCTACTTGGAGCCACTATGACGTACAAATGACACTTTATCTTTAGACTCCAAATTTGGTGCAGTGAAGTTTATTTTTTCAGCTGTAATGTCCGAGAAGACTCAGCATTATGTCCTTGAGCAAGACATTTTATCCAGAAGCACTCCAGGGGATTGACTCTTCAGTCAGTGCACACTCTTTTTGGATAAGACACATCTGCTAATATGAAGTTATTCAGTAACATCTGCAGTAAATGGAGCATTGTCTTACTGATACTTTGATGTCGTGCCAATGTATTTTAAGAACAAAGTCAGGAAGTTTGTGCTTATTTGCAGAAAGCCTATCAAAGTACAAATCATAGTGTAGTTAGCAGGGGGTTTGTAGGGACAGTTGAGATCATGAAAATGGGCCCAACTGATGTAAAACTGTCATAGCAATAAAACTATATTCATATATTTACATTTGTTTCCCCCCCCCCAATGTATAGGAATGCATATTTTTTTTAAATTTTAAAGTTTATATTTAATCACCCTTTCAGCTATTATCAGTTCACCTAAACTGGTGTGAAAATAAATAAATAAATAAATAAATCATGTAGTAATTAATGTGACGTCATAAATTCTGCATGCGTATTCTTTTTATTATGGAAGTAGAGAAATGGTGCTTGCAATTTCATGTAAACTATAATGCAATTATAAAACAATTTAGCGCATAAAAATGTTAAAACAAGTTAAAATGAGGTACAGCAATGTGGAGATTATTATTATTATTATTATTATTATTATAAACCCACACACAAACCTCTAGAGAAAATAGAGAAAACAAACGGAAATGTTTGCGTACTTTTCTCAAATTAATGTTGTCAAAACGTGACAAGACGCATGAAGAAGTGATGCTTCTACCAGCCAAAAATGCATCCAACATAGTAAGAAATTTAAAAAAGAAGCAAATTAAAAAATTTTCATCATTCATTCCGTGTTCTGATGACCTTTAGCATATTTGTGTAATCAGTGGATGATAACATCCTAGCAATGCTGCTGCGCGACATGAATAAATAATGCAGTTTATGCATTACTTTTTATTGTTTCACTGTTTCAGCTGTTGTTGTTGTATTTGTTACTCTTAGTTATTTGTCGTCTGGTCACCACTGAAAGCTCAGCTAAACTTATGCTGTTTTTGGTTGTCACCTTCATTGGTGTTTAACTGTTAAATGATTAGGTCTGTGTCCGTCTGAAAGTTAATGGATATGATCATCTAGTTCCAGTATGCAGAACAATAAAAGGTTACTCGAATATATTAAAATCATTATCATCATGTGCGTCATAGTATTGAAGTCTGCCATTTACTTTTTGTTTCCCATGTCATAGTAAACTGCCTTTTTATGAAGTACAGTGCAGTTATACAAAACATAATTGCAATTATTTTTGTCATAAGCAACAAACTTACTGATCATACACACTACCTAGCATGCAACATTTGACAAATGCATTTTTTTAAATTTACGAAACAAAAACAAAAATGAAAAAAAAAAAAAAAGATTTATATATGTGAAAACTGACAGGTACTCACATGATCTGAGGCTAATCATATGAAGACAAAGTCCTGTACAATGAGAAATGTCTTATATCCTCTGCATGAGTGGGTGTGCCTATTCTAGCCAACCATGGCACCTGTCTGTTGATGTTTTATAAAGGAAAAAAAATAATTAATGTATAATTTGTAATCATTTATTATAATGCTAGTATGTAGGTCAGAAACAACATTAATCATACATTTATTAAAAATGCAATATTAACATTCGTATTTGGGGGATAAAAAATCATCAGAAAGCAATGAGAGCTGTTTTCTTGCATACATTCTGGCAGGAAATGTAACAAAAGTTAGCTAAGCAGATCACAGCTTCAGTAAATGTTTAATTATACCATTATGTTATATAAGAATGTAGTAAAAAAGTGACTTAATATAACTGCTGATGACTGTTAAAAAAAAAAAAAAAAAAAGCTTGTGAAGTAGTTTTACATTTCTGTAGTGTATAGGTCAGTTTTTAGGTTTTTATTTATTTTTGTTTGTTTAATAATAATAAGCCCCACAACTTTGTTTTCATACCACTCACATTTCTTTGTTGTCAAATGAACCATTTATTTACTACAAATAGCTCTGAGATCTTAGAACAGCACATAAAAAGTGCACAAGCACATGTGAACATATTCAAAACAGCATATAATAGTTCTGTGACACCATATTATTGTAAGCCTCATGGGATTTTAATATGATTTTTTTCCCTCACATCGTCATTGACAAAGTATCAACAGCATGTTAATACTGTGCACAGTTAATTAACAGAGTTTAAATAAAGGCTTTAATTAGAGATGTCAGGAATGCAGTTAGTGCACAACACAAATCTCCAGCTCTCATAAAACTAAATCTGATTTAAACCCAGTTTTTATTCTGAATTTATGCAATTAGTGCCAAGAATAATTAGTGCCAAATGCCAAAAATGACACATACCACAATTTAAGTGCAAGATAACAGCAGCTGAAAAATCAGATTAACCTTCATTAAAATACTGGCCTCACATCTAAAATATTCCAAATCAAAAGGGTAAAACATGGCAGATACAACAGGTTAGACATTTTCGATAGTACATTTAGACCTTGTATGCACATTAAAACTAAAAATTTACACTTAAACAAAACCAGATATTCAGCAGACAGTGTTGAGTGTCTAAATATAAAGAAATAATGGAATGTGATGATACACATTTTTTTGCTTGTGGTCGTCAAAACACAATTTCATTTTGGAGTCATAGAAAACATAGTTTTTCCAGTTAGGAACAATATAACTTACCTGATTTGTATTCATCAACAATGACCAGCAATAAACAAAATACTATGTCTTGGTGCATGAAAACACTTCTCACTTAATCTAGATAAAGGTCAAGGTGTTCACACACAAATTAAACGTGACTCAAATGTATCAACCACATATTCTTTACATTCTCAATGTGCCATCGGGTAACACAAAGATAAGCAATGTGATCAAGTGTAGCTCTTTTTTTGCATTGCCATTAACTTGAAATGTCCTGTGAAGGCATCAGGTTTACCATCTTTTTCCATGTTAGATTAGAAGTGATACCTGTTGTATAAAGGCATAGGGTGAGTGTAAAATCAAGTGCTGTAATATTAACTGCAGTTGTCTGTGCAGTCCTGGGCTCGCTGGAAGACCTGGTACACACTGACTAAAGGGAACATCGTGAGAGCTCCAATGAGAGAGCCAGCCTGGATGAAGACTCCACACCAAAGCAAAGCTGCATGCCCTGCTTCGTGAAGCAGAGTCCCAACTACAACCTTCAGGTAAGAGAACAAGCCGGTGAAGATGATCCAGGATATGATCTGAATGAAGAAAGAATTACAGGCTTCTGTTAAAAAACTAAACCTGATGAGAATAAATGGGTTCTAATATTCTCCATATAGTTTAATAGAATTATTTTTATACTGTATTTACAGATAATGTGTGTACTATGTGTGGTGACTGAACGGGTGCCTTATTTTCATTAATTATTTTTGAAATGTAAATCAATAATTAGAGTAAAACAGAGGTTAAGGTCTATTGAGCAGCATCTGTGGCATGGTCATTTACCCTAGAAAATATTTTAAAATATTATAATAAAGTTAATATTTCGAAGTATAATTAATAATTATATTAAATGTTTAATGCATTTATAATGCAAGTATAATTTTACAGCAGTTGCCCCATAGACTTCCACTGTACACAACTATTAATATAAGAGGATTTTGACTCCAACTGATTTTTTTCTTTGAAATATTGCTATAATGCTCAATAAATATTGCTCAATAATTATCTTTCAAGCATCTTAATTATCTTACTCATACTTTCTCAAATCTTTAGAGATGATACAATAATGAAACGGAGTGGGGCGAAATCGCTAAACAGTTGCACCACTTTTGCACGTGGTAGTTCAGTGGTGTAGTAAACAGCACTTTTAACATTTCGAGAGATTCGTTCTTAGTTCCTCTTCCACGCAGTAATGACATGCAGTTACTAACCACTAGAGCAACTCCAGACTGACTTCCTAAAAGTGGTGGACAGGGACTCAGCGCAGCCAAGGCCATGAGATGGGCAGCAAAAATACAGCCTCCCAGTGACACCATTCCAAGACCAATGCTGGACCTATAATGAAACCATCCATTTCAATTCTAAAAATTCAACTAAATTAATAACACTTACACCACACAATGACGTGACAAATTGTACATGAGCAGAATTTAAATTAGGGCCACTGCCCTGCAGAGTTTAGCTCCAACTTGCCTCAACACACCTGCCTGGAAGTTTCCAATATGCCTAGTAAGGCAAGGCCTTGATCAGCTGGTTCAGGTGTGCGTAATTAGGGTTGGCGCTAAACTCTCCTGGACAGTGGCCTTCCAGGAACAGGACTGAACACCTGTGATTTAAATGAACAGGGCCACTAAGCACTGTTATGCACATAAAAGAGTCATCAAGAACTTTAACTCACTTACCTAAGTAGGAAAAACATGGCCACAAAGCAGGCCAGAGGGTTTGCAATGTTGCCCAAGACGACAGAGAGGTGAAAGGTCATGGTGCCATAAGGCAGACAGGCGAAACTCTGCACGGATGGTAGCACACCGTTGGTCAAAGCATTGGATATTCCCAGCAACAGGAGCAGGTATATATTGCGTGACGTCCAGAAGGCCACAACAGGTGCCTGTTTTTCAACTTCAACTTGTTCCTCAGAAACTGGGGAACCTCCGTTTTGTAAAGGGTGTGTCTCTTCCTCCGTTCTCACTGTTTCCTGTTCAGTCTTTGGAATTTCCTCTGCTGCAGTCGGAGTGACCACTCTGTTTGTCAGAGCGAAAAAACAGAGGGCCGAAATCGCCAGCATCACAGACAAGAACCAGAAGAAGTTTTGGGCAGGGAAGTTTTCTTTGAGATAGTGGGGCTCTGTGCCGTTGGCCGTCTCAACGCACTCTAGTTTCCCTACACCCTGACCCAAAGCGACCACACAGGGAAAGAGTGCGCAAAGACCCTGTCCGACAAAGAACGTCCGGATGTATTGTGGGGGGTAACGGAACATGAATGGTAAGAAGGTGACGTTGGAAGTGCAGCAGACAAATGACAGGATAAAAGTAAGCAGCATGAACGGGACAGATCTTGGCTCTCCAGCGACTGTGACCACCTGGGACCAAAAGAGAGCAAGAAATGCAGCTGCAACCACCGCTAGCACTTGTATGATGTGGATGACCAAGCGTTCATTCAGCCATCCTGGAGCAAAGTGGTGGGTTAAAGTCACAGCCACTGGACCCAGATTCCCAAATGCAATCAGCACTGAAAGATAGGCTGGCAAGTTCCACTCTGTAAAGAAATGACATGTTTGAAGTTCTAAAATTATCTGGATAAATACAGCATCTATTAGGTACAGCTGTGGCACATGTTGAAGTTTTATTAAAACACTATTTACCTTCAGGTAGAACACCTACAACAACTGGCAACTCAACCCATAATGAGTTCACAGAGATCCATGAGCCCATTCCAAACAGGGCCACCAGAATATGTGTAACAATGGCATGATTCCACCATGTATCTGCCATTTATATGTCTAGGAAAAGGGCACAAGCAAGTTAGAGCATCCATGTTTTTAATTGTACATAATACACCTATTTCTTGTGACTGTATTTGAAAAAAATTGAATAGTCAAAGTAAATTGCTTTCCTCATGCTAAACTATGTCATCTGATATGGATTGAATTAAAACTTATAAATGTTAATGACTTCTCGCTTTCACTGAAATGCTTGTTCAACTGTCAGTGCTAAATTATCAGTGTTCACTTATATACAGCAAAGCGATATAGAATATACAGTATATACCAAATGTAAATGTAAAATATAAAAACATAAAAAACTGCTAAATATATGTGTACACATACATATAAAAATAAATTTTTTTTTTTGAATTAAACATATTTTAAAATTTACTCTGCTTAAATGAACAGTACTCAAATGTGTGATGCTGCAGACCTTTTGAAATGTTATAAAGAAAAAGCCACATGTAACACTGGCTAAAAAGGGTGAAATGGAAAAAAATATATATATTGGATGGTAAATTATAATAATAAAAACAGTATGGATGAATGAATCTAAAGTCTGTAACACTTTAATTGCTTACAGTGGAGGATTCTTTAATGAACAAAATTAAAATACCATAATTTAAAATATATATACTTATAACATTATAAATGCTTTACTGTACTTTTTCTCAAATGAATGCATCCTTAATTAATAAAAGTTATTTTTTTTAATCAAAACATCAATTTCATAGTGATTTAGAACAATTTTATATATATAAGATTATATGCATATACATAACATTATATAAATATTTATTATTATTATTATTATTGGTAGTACTAGTAGAATTTTTATTTAATAAAAGTCAGGACAAGTATTTTGCTACAAGTATTTTATTTTGTAATGCAACTTCTATAAAAAAACAAATATAAAAAAAAAACAATGAACTAATTAACTGTTTTGATACTAATAATGTCTAGTATTCCAGTAAGAGGACAAGCTTGTTAGTAACAGAACATCTGAAAACAAAGATTTTTACCATATGTAAAAACAAAACAAGAAAATAATGCAAGTACCATGTATTTAACATTTTTATCACGTTAAAACACAATCAGAGAAACTCAAAGTTCTCCCTGTAACAAGGGCCAAAAACATTTGTTTTCTTTATATCAATACTACGCTTTTGTTGAGTTTGCTGACCAGTGGCTGTGCTTTGGGGGTCGAGGGATGATGTTTCAGTTGGGGTCTCTCGAATCTCAGTGTGTCCAAGCACATTCTCAGTTGGTGATATAACTATAACTCTCTCATTTGGCAGGACATCCTTCAGTGTAGAAACCATGTCATTCAAAGAGAACCCTATGTGAGTTAGCTTTTTGTCTCTGGAACCCAAGATGCTCTTTTGGTAGTTCAGCTCACAGCGAATGACCTCACGTATATGCGCATGGCTTGCCCCTTCCAGTTTTGTGAGCAATCTTTCAACATCTTGCTTGCTTTTACATGGGCCACCGTATTTTGAAACTGCTCCAACAATCATTTTCCTATAAATGTGATCCTGAGCTTTTTGCTTTAGTCTAGACACCTTCATTTTTTTTGCGGCATTGAGATTTGCTCCGTCAAAGATGGAGTAGCGTTTTTGAATGGTTTTGGCAGGTGACAGTGTGACCGCTGCTGATGTAGGTTCATCTGTTGTCTCTCGGGAAGCAGGTTCTTGTTCTGCATTTTCGGAAACTGAACCCTCGGTCCGACCAAGAGTTTTATCAAGCCTGTTCTTCTCATAAGGGTACGCATGACCAAAGGGGTACTCGCCCATCAGCTGTGAAAATGTGCAGTTTGCCATTTGAACGGCTAGATCCGTTGGAAGATCTTTGCAGTGTTCGCCGCCAGGCAAGAAATCTTTAAGATTGTCCTCGAGTACAGCTGCGAGGGCTTTCATCGTCCTCTGTAAGCAAGCTTTTATCAGAGTACCAAACTGGTTCTCTGCATTATCACGGCAAAATCTGAACACTCCTTCGAAAGTCCCCTCTTGCATTGGAACCTGTAAGAATACATTCACAAAAGCTTCTGGTTGCAAAAGGCAACTCGCATCTTGCGACCATTCCAGGAGCTTTTCGTACAGGCATAGGATGTATCTACTGAAAAGAGGATATTCTCCATCGCTCTTCAGAAGCTGCCAAAAGGGTCCCAAGACTTTAAGGTAGACAACAGCAACCACACAGACCAATGCCTGCAAAGCCTCGTCGTTTGCGTCAGCATTGACGCTCTCCAACAGGATATTCGAGTCGTCGTTCAGGAGCTGCAGATCAGATACAAAGAGAGCAACATCTTCACGATGGTGAATGAGTCCAGCGGCTGCTTCAAAGTAGTTAATGATACGATTTGACCTATAAATAGGCAGTTTGGAAGTGTTTTTTCTTTCAAGGCAAAAAGCAAGCCAGTGCCTGCGGTAATTTGGGTTGGTCTCCTCGCTTGGACATAACATTTCCGAAGCCATGTGAATGTAACGGGTCACTGCGCTCTCATCGAAGTTGACAAAACTCTGAAATCTGGGGTGCTTGTCGCGTCCGAGTTTCTCGCCTGTGGTGTTCACTATATCTTTTTCAAATGACATCATTTGCTGTTCAATTACATCAATGAGTTCGAAAAGTAACTGGCAGATGTAACGCAGGAAATTCAGCGGTGGCACTAGTGGATGGGTGCTTCCTTTGACTTTGTCATCGAGGGTTCTTAGGTTAGCATCTTCCTTTAGCATTGCCGAGAAGTGATTTTGAAGCAGATCCAGTGAAACCACTTTAGCAGCGTCGTTCTTTCCTCCATTCATGTCTGCAATCTTTTGCCAAGACAGCACAGAAATATCAAGAAGTGTTACATTGTCGCCCGTGTCGGTTCTCGGGTCTTCTTCCACATCTTTCAGTGACCGTATTGGTGTTTGATGGCTCTGTGATCCCTGTTCCCTTTTAACACCGAATAAATGAGGCATTTGCTTGGGCTCATGATGTGTTTTCACAGTCACATCTGTCTGCGAAATACGGAAGGGCTCATCTTCCTCCTTGACAAAAGAGGTAGGTTTATGCCTAGAAATGCGGCGTTTCTTCCTCAGATGTGCTTTGATCATTGCCACCCTCCTGTATTCAATATCATCAGCATCAGCTTCAGGAGCAAGATCAAATGGACTCTGAAGAAACTCATCCAGAAATCCGCGGCTCCTCTTTCGGCTCCTCTGATTGTTGCGGTACTGTATTCTGAAATTCTTGAGACTTGACCGTAGGAGCCTATAGGCTCTTTGGATCTTGCCATCACTACAAAATAAAGGCTCAAAGTTACGAATCCAGGACACCAAGACAACCGGGTCTAATTTCTCTCGCGAAATAAAATTAGTCAATTCAAGAATGAGACCGTTTGTGAGACCAGTTAATTTTGCACGATCAGAAAAGTCAGACATTTCAAGTAAATCTCTTCTCCCGATTCCGATACTATCACATATAGGTCCAACAAATTCAAAGTTGACATCTGACTCAAGAAAGTTCTGCCTGGCATCTCCAGTTAAGCTCAAAGCTGTCGTGGTGTTTCTCTCAATCAAGCTTCGGAAATCCGCTGACTGAAACATTGGGACAATCTTTTGAAGCCACTGAATTAAATCAACCCATGAAATATCTTGCTCCTCTCTCATCAGTCCAACCTGAACCAACATGCGGATTTTCCAGGGCTTTTCATCCAGCTCCAACAGCTCTCCATAATGAGCACCAAGGAAGTCGTCAACAAGCTTGGAGTAAAAATCGTCCTCTGCAAGACATAGTTTTCAAATGTAAATAAGCAGATACTTAAAAAAAAAAAGTTGTTTGTTTTGATAGTAAGTCATTGAATACAAAACAAAAAGTAGTACTCACTGAGCTCAGCAGCAATGGTCTTAGCACTCGCACTAGAGGAACCAAAGTCTTGCAGGTCCTCCATAGTTGAACATCAAAGTGGCTTGGCTTGTTTTTTAAACCATCTGGTGGAGCACACTTCCAAATAAAGGCCAGATAAATGTTTTAGTAATAACGACCAAAGAATGACAGTCCACAGCTGATCTTAACCGTGCAAAAGATTATCCTTCAGGTTCCTATTTTTTTATCATGTTACAACAGGTGTACCTGCCTGAGACTGTAGTTTTCCTATTGGTATTACAGGTTTATAATCATTTTCAACTTAAAAATTAATCACTCATCTTCTGATTTTTCCATCTTTAGATTTACAAGACATATCCTTTGGTATATATTACATTATTAAATTTGTTTCCTCAAAAATACACCACGGTAAGTTTATGGCAAAATATAACAATCGATTCTAAATATAAATAGTAAATGCAATGCTCTAATATACAACTGTAGCTTGGTATTAGCCAATGCTGTCATCAGAAAATTAATTAAGACACCTTTCCTACACTTTTTAAAGGACATCCCATATTAATTAATTACCTTAATTTTACAGTCGTGATAATATTTACAGTAATGGTATCTGTGGTTTCCTTGGTAATATATTGTAAGGGTTATGAATTATATAAGTGTTATGATTACTTGTTGCGCGTGTCACACAAAAGCACAATACAATGAATGAATAGAATTCATGGGATAAAAATAACACTGAAAGAATGGTGCAAAAGTTCAGTTGCATCACTGCTAGCTTTACTAACATAAATCAAGGTCACATATTCTGTCAACTTGGCAAGTTATTTATTAGTTATCCTGAAGTAATCAGGGAACAAAATGTTCACGCCTCATTCGTGTACGCGGCTGATTTTGCAAGAAATGTGTTGTATTATCGACTTCTTGCTATTATTGACTAAATATCTATTTTGCTTGTTTTGGTTTTACTGTTTGAAATCTCAAGTACTAGGGCTGGAAACGAGAACATACGTTTTCATTCTTCGTGGTTTGTTCTCTCTAGCGCGCGAGGATGCGTCAACGCACGTATCGTGAAGTTTGAAAACATGCTGTCTGTGTTTGATTGCTATTACTGTGGGAGATTACCATTAATAAGACGTTTAAACAATGTTATGTAGCAAGCATGTTTTAAATTTAAATAAGCGTTCAGAAAAAAACGTACATTTATTCGTGTATTTACATCAACGGTAATGTTTAAGTGCGAAATCTCGAAATGTACTCACCGACTTATTGTTCGGCTGTAGTATTCTGTGCAGCGTGTTACTCTCTTTGGACCCTTTGCAGTGTGTAGAGAGAGAGTCGGGGATTCTGATTCAGCAATAATTTTCCTAAAAACGGAGGAGCGTCCACTCTATATCATGGACTTCCCTGTTGAGTCACGTGTGCACTTGAAGCGTCTTTGATTGGACATATTCCATGCATTCTTTTTCGTTAAAAAGGCTATGCTAGTCCACCTTGCTTCAGCGAATCAGTTACAAAGAGCCGGTTCAGTGATTCTTTTGCGTCATTACGTAATTGCGTCATCACATCGACCCCTGGCCAACTAGTGTATATAATATTTTTGTATTCTTATACCCCCGCAGAGGCGGACAAAGTACTCAACTCCATTACTTGAGTGAAAGTACAGATACTGCTGGTCAAATATTACTCCATTACAAGTGAAAGTTGTAAAGACAGATTTTTACTTAAGTAAAAGTACAGAAGTACCGTACTTGCTTTTAAAAGTACTTAAGTACCAAAAGTAAATTTCCTTTTTTATGTCAATGCACATATTTTTTATTGTTGTACGTAATACTTGCAATACCTCTGAAGCAACTTACAATACATTACACCTACTGAATACACTGACTAGCATCTTTGGTCTGAGCTGTTTCAACTGAAAGAAACTTGCTCTGACTGACCTTAAAATATATCAGTGCCTTTATTTTGTCTCAAAATGCACACCAATGTTTTTTCTAAGGCATGTTTATAAAAATTACTTCAATGTCCTAATTGAACTATGGCCTAATCCTGGCTTATTCTAAGCCCTGTCTGTGAAACCAGGCCATAATGTCTAACTGAATGATTGTGTACTTTGTGGTTTACACTCCGACATGATTGTAATTTTAAAAATGTTGGTGCAAAAATAATCTGTCCAAACTGTTCCAAAAAAGCAATATGTCGTTACTTTTCTTAGGTTTCTTTTCTATGAACTTCCTTTAATAAAAGTGTTTGGATAAATTCACCTTCACGTGCACCGGTTTTGTAGCAGCAGTGAGTCCGCTCATAAAACATTAAGTCAATTTTTACGTAAATCTAGTTCTAAAATTTTTAATAAAAGGGGATTAAAATGAATAGAAATGGAAAAAAGAAAGAAAGATTCTTGCACAATGTTGTTGACTCGCGAACCCATCGGACCGATTTAGTCCGAGTTGTCAATGAATCGTTCATTCAGATGGTAATGCGCGAAATTGGTGCGAATCTTATGCAAAAAAAAGTTAGAATCTCAAACAAGAATGGGCAGGCTGGGCAGATCTCTCATCAACTATAGAGCATGTAATAATCCATTGTATGGCATATGAAAGGGAAAGAATTCAATTATAAAGCGATTTAATTTCTGTTGGCATAAATTCTTTAACTTTGCAAAATTAACAGTTCTTACAAAGGATATGAAGCTTATTTATTTATTTATTTTATTTTTATTTAGTCATTTAGCAGACGCTTTTATCCAAAGCGACTTACAAATGAGGACAATAAAAGCAGTCAAAACTAACAAAAGAGCAACAATATATAAGTGCAAATGACAAGTCTCGTTTAGCCTAACTAACTACACGTAGCAAGGTGTATATATACAGTGGGTACGGAAAGTATTCAGACCCCCTTAAATTTTTCACTCTTTGTTATATTGCAGCCATTTGCTAAAATCATTTAAGTTAATTTTTTTTCCTCATTAATGTACACACAGCACCCCATATTGACAGAAAAACACAGAATTGTTGACAAAAAAACTGGTCCATTGGAGTGAACGGAATTGTCACAACTCTCTCTCTCTACAGCTCTGGTCGCTGTGTACGAAAGCGGATATGAAGACATTCGTTGACCAAAGAAAGCGCACCATGGCGCTCGGATAACAACAACAAAGGAGTAAGAGGTACCGTCGTGCAATTATGTTTTAGTAATGGTGCTACAAACTCTAGATTAATTTGCACGACTTTCCAGATTTTCAGCAAAGACCCGACAAACTGCTGCTGAATCTGTTTGCAGCAATACATAAAGAGGAGCTATTTTTTCAGTCAGCTAACGTTATCTAAGTCGTGCTTTTGCCAATTTTATATATTTTGTTTACAGTCTCATTAATGACGTTTTTCAGCGAGAATGTTTTTAGGGACCAACAGTAAGGCATGGAAAGCACAATAATGAAGGTATCCAACTCGAACACAGAGCCCGAGTCACTCCAGGCTTCTTCTGCAGAAATGTCAACCACTCAATCCAGCACAGCTGGGACATCCCAGTCTGCACCTGCAAAACGAAAAAGACTTTTGAAAAGAAAAGCTGATTCCGTTGCGGATGACAAAAGCAAAAAGAAAAAGAAAAAAACTGTAAAACGAACTATAAGACCAAATTACACCGTCCAGGAGGGAGAGGACATGCTTTTGATTATATCAAATATAAACAGTAGTGACAGCATATGGAAGCCCAAGCGGAAGGGATGTAAGAAAAAGAAGATAACCGCAAAAGGCAAGAGTAAAACCTCTGCTAACAAAACGAAAAAAGCACCAATAAATGCGAAAATCCCCAAAGTCACAGAGCAAGCTATTGATAAAAATGTTGATTTGGAGAGTGTTAATGCTGATAGCTTTGACCGCTGGGGTCAAAGTTTGCCAATAGAAGTCCTGGTGAAAATCTTTCAGTTTGCAGTTCTCCAGGATGGAGCCGTACCTTTTCTGTGCAGGTGGGGCATGCACTCTGTATTTGTGATATTCAGTGTCTGTCCAACCTTGCTACAGATGCTATATTTGCTTTATGTTTATTGTTCATTTGTTTGCTGTCTTTAAAGGGTTGGCAGAGTTTGCCGTCTATGGAATGGAGCTGCATCCTCTCCGATCCTGTGGCGTAGTGTGTCAGTTGGCTACTGCTGGATTGAACCCGGTAAGAGTCAATTACCTGGGACAGAACAGAAGATTAGGAACACTATAGACTGGCTAGGTGAAAACAGGTCAGTGGTTGAACCAAACAAAAGTATTTTTTTAATTGGAAGAACTTGAAGACTTGAAGACAATGTGAGATAATGCATAGCAAAGCTCCATCTATACAAAAAAGTTTTTTTTTATGTCTGTCTCTCGCAGATTGTCTCGGTTGAGAGAGTTCTCCCTTTGCCACTGGAAAAAACATGTTGATTATGTGATTCAGGTAATAATAATCCATCTGCTGTGAAATTTTGTGACTGCTTTCTGAATCTGTTTCTGATAATCTCTGTGTTCTGTTTTTCTAGAAAGTTTCACAATCATGCACCAATCTTCATTCTCTCAAGCTGTCTTACTGCACGGGAATGACAGAAACAGCCTTCCAAAACCTTGGTGCTCAATGTCGATCATTAGAGAATATAAATTTGCAACATTCAGAGGTTTGTATGCAAACTGTTTGCTTAGATTTGAAGGGACAGTTACCTAAAAATGAAAATTCAGTTTTATTCACCCTTATGTCATTCCAAACCTTTATGGCTTACGTTCTTCTGTGGAACAGAAAAGAAGAAATTTAGATGGACTTACAAATTATGGACATATTATTTACTTTATGATATTTTTGTGGGTTTTGAAAAGTTT